TCTTTAAGGTCCCTTCCAACCCAAACCATTCTATGATTCTATGGCATACCATTGCTAGGGGCTGCCCACCTTCATGTGGTGCTAGCAGCCTGCCCAGCCCTTCCCACAGGTGCTGCCTTCTCCTCTCACTTTTCTGGGGGCAGGAAAAAGCAACGAAGTGTGAATTCAGCACTTGCAAACGATGCTGCACTGACAGCACTGCAGTGGGAAATGTTTTTTTTTAGCCACGGGAACCACATCTGTAGCATCTCTCTGCCTTGCTGCTACAGACTTGTGTTGCTTTTCCTTCTCACATTCCCTTATCTGGCCCAAACCCCACTTTTGCAAGAGATCTCGCCGTGTGTGCATGTCTCAGTCCCTGCAGGAGAAGTCCCCAGATTCCTCTCATGGAAAGCAACGTATAAAACACCTCGGAGCAAAAGCACCTCCTGACAGGGCGGGCAAATCAAAAAGTCCTTGGGTTTTGTTTTCTGGCTCTAGTCAGCTGTTCGAGTAAATAATTTTGTGCCTCTGCTTCCCGTCATGCTCCTTTGCTCAGGTGGTTTCAAGTGTAGGATTTTTTATTTTTTTTTTTTTTGACGTTAGGGACAGTGTGTTTGAACACCTGAGCTGACCCTGGAGGGCTGACACAGACATGGAACAAGGAGCAGGAGACACAAAGTCCCAGCAAACAGGGCTCACCAGCCCCACACAGGTGGCTCCCAGAAATGGGAATCTCTGCCCAGCAGTGAGATGTGGGCAGCATGAAGCCCTCCATCCCCTGCTCCAGCGGGGATCCGGGATGGAGCCGCTTGATGGGAAGGGGTTTTATTCATTTTAATTATTCCCTCCCGCCAGAAGACAAGCCCCAAAACTGCCAGGGGATGGGAGGACAAGTCCCAAACCAGCGACGCCGGGGGAGCGGGCAGGGATGGGGAGAGCATCCCAGCTGAGCCCCGGGGATGCTGCCCCCGCCGCCGCCGGTACCCTTCTCCCTTCCCGCGGGGAAACCAGCCCCTTTTCCCGCAGGAACCGCCCGCCTGGGCCGGGCTTCGGCCTCTCCTCCCTCCCCCGACGTGTCCCCGTCGCCGGGGGAGCATTGCCCCCTCCCGGCCTCCGCGGGAACCGGCGGGGAGCCCCGGCTGGGGACCGCGGTTCCCCCCCAACAGGGGACCGGGGCCGGGGGGAGAGAAGGGAAGATGGGGGGGAGTCGTTTTGAAGGTAGGGTGGAAGGGAGCAGCATCCCCCTACCGCCCCCCCCCCCCCA